AATCATTTAACGGAATACTCAACCACTTTTAATGCTGCAAATATTTTTTTGCTATCTAGTATCTTGAATTCATACGGTGTCCAAACACCTAGTTTGTGCAGTTTAGCGACCAAAACTCTATTTTCTAGAAAAAAAAAAACTAAATGGGTTTGCAGGTGCCTTCGCGAAGTTTGAAACTCAATTTATTCTTTCGGATAGTACAAGAACATTTTTCTCAAAAAATACAAATCCTCAATTTTTTTTCTCACCGTGTGAGCGTAAACGCGATTGTCCATCTCACACCGACTTCCCCTGATATTTTTTCACTAATTCCTAGTTATTTCAGGAAATTTCATTTGAAATTTGAACGTCAAGGTAAGTGTCTATTTATTTTCCCAATTTACTCAACTAGTGGATTATTTCCAGTATCAAAAATATCAGGGAACAGTTGCCAAAATACCACTGACGAGCACTTCCTCTCGACTCCGTCTTCTGTCTCAACTCCTAATTGATTTTTCATGTTGACCAAGTCACACATGTGTGTCGAACTCAGGGAATGGGTTCATGCAGTCACTGCAACAGTGCAAAGTTACTTCGCCAACACTCTTAGAAAGGAATTGCCATTTCACAGAAAGTTTAGTAGTGATCTTCAGAACAGCGACATTGAATGCGATTGAAGGGTGCGGGGGGAATGGGTGGCTAGAAATAGTGTATTGTGCACCAGGTGCGGAAAATTAATGTTCTCACGATCTATTCGGGATAATGGGAAAATACCTAAACTATTAGAAATTTCTTGAAATTTCAGTCACATCGTCATCTGAATTTTAGATGTTGCGAGGGTGAATTCAATTTCAAATGAGAACGGCCACTAAATTTCTCATTCATCTTGAAAATTCAAGAAAATTGAGTTTTTCATCTTGAAGTAGCTCTACCCTTACGGTAAATTCAAAGATTATTGAAAACTGCAAAAAAATGGAGAAAACTCGATTACATTCGGAATTCTAATTTTTTTCTCAATTTAATTATCGTTTTTGTTTTTCAAAGAAGAAATGTCTAAAAATCGGGATTTAACCCACTGTCTTATGTGAAAATCAACATTTCCATTGTAATCAAAGATCAAAATCTGAATTTTTTTCAGTAGATGTGAAAAAATCAAGAAGTTTTTTGACACCTCATAAAAAAATAATCCACCGTTTTGCAAACAAGTTTTATTAGTTATTTCTAAGAGGGCAATGCTTGAAAAAATATTAATATTTTGCGAAATTTAATTTAGATAATACTGACTGAGTATGAATTTTTTTTAATTTTTTCCATGAAATTTAGTAGAAAAATTAAAAAACTGAAAATATTCAAAAGCACAGCGTAGCGATTTTTCAATGAAAGCTTGAATTTCCAAACTCGTCGTGAAAATTAAACATCACATGCCAGTCAATTGCCAATAGATTAACAATTCGGAAAAATTGTTGCTTAAATTTTCCAAATTTTCGAGGTTTTTCAGTGCCGTATGGATGTGAAAATCGAGAATTGCTTGAATATTTAAGAAATTAGCTGATCCGTCTATGAAGAAATATGCAGAAATTTCAAGTAAAGTCGTCGTCGTTAAAAATTTCAAGCTTTTTCTAACAGTGTCATTTGATTCTGTGGAATCTAACCAACATTTTGCTGAAAAAATTCCTAGAATTTGTCACCGCATTCGAAATGCGTACCGAAAAATTCAGCTGAAAGTTTTCCGCTGAGCACGCCGAGTTATTATTTTTGCTTTCTTCAATTTTGCAGCTGTCTCTGAGGACATCAGAGACGATAAGATCACCTCGTACTCGAGACCCTAGAGTACGGAATATCACGCTGACGTGGATGTTTTTCCCCCCAGACGTAAGGGGGATTGCTTAAATGAATTTTACCGCCTTTTCTTCGACTTATTCCGACATTTCAATTACTGTTTACTTCGATGTAGCATTTTTACTATTTTTGTGCCAATTCAATCGGATAGAGGTAACACGGACAGAAAATCCATTACCAACACCAACCCATAGATACGCTCACTTGATATTTCTTATTTATTTGTTATTCATTCATAACAATGTTATTTTTATTTATTTATTTATTTTCGAAGTCAAACAGCCGAAGCCAATAACATAACTAATTACGTGTAGCTAGGTATTTAATGTTAGAAAAAATATAGAAATTTCATGGAGAGTTTAGCAGTAATTTTCAGAGGAGTGAAACTCAATTCAATTTAGGAGAAAAAAAATGATGACATTGCCTATTATACTGGAAATTCAATGGAGTTCCATATTTTTGCGTAGCAGGAAGACCAGAATTTCCCCGAATTACTTGAATTTTCAATTAAATCACGTTCAAGAATATCTTTGCCTAAATTTTTCTGATTTACATCAATTTTCATGGAATAATTGAGCTGAAATTTCCAGGTCCCTTTGTTTTTTTCATCAAACCCTGATGTTCTCAATTTTTAAGAATTCTTGCTCAAAGAAATGATGATTTATTATGGAAATTCTCACTTCTTAATAACTGAACATTTCTGGCGAATATGAACTAGAAAAAATTTTTCGGCCATGTGACAAACGATATTTTTCCTCATCCCTCACGGAAAAAATAATTTGGTGAATTTCAAAAAGTAGTTGATGAATTTTAAGAAACTAGTTGGTGAAATTTAACAATTAGTTGTTGAAATTCGCCAACTGGTTGGTAATTCATTTTTTTCAATAACTAGTTGTCGAAATTCACCGAATAATTTCGTCCGTACGGCCGTAGGCAGGGATCCAGGGCTGCTGCACGGCCGGAATGACAACAAATATTTTTCCCAATCAATTCACGAATTGCCCATGACATCCTAAAACAGCTCTCGTGAACAATTCCCACAATCTCCCATGAATCATGCCACAAATTTCCAGAAACGATAATAAAAGAATAATGAATCTCCCACTTTTTGTCGCTCCTCCAACACCACTTTCATGAAACTCGGACAGTGGATATTCGAGAAAATGAGGACAACAGCTGCTGAAGCCATAAAATTTTCATTGACTTCGGCGTTTCGTATTTTCAAACTCTCAAACAGCTACCTCGTCCACACCCGAGAGTCAAATTGCCCCTGAAAATAAAAAATAAAAATAAAGATGAATAATGGAGACGAGGAGGAGCGAATATTCGATAAAATTCAATCAAAAAATTCGATACGGTGTAACGGATCTGCCGATGGGCTTCTTGGTTGAGGGAGGACCGAATCCCCGGCGGTTTACTGTCATTTGTTTTCTTCTCCGCGCGTCCTCTCACCCTCCGGACGCGAAATGACCGGACGTCCCGGCGCCGCGTCACCTCATCCTTTCTGCTTCTATCCGCCCTTCACCCCTCTCCTCCTCCCCGTCCCCCTGTTTCGCTCAACGGGGAAGTGCTATGGGTTCGGGAAATACGTGACGATCGAGTCAACACAACAGCGAAGGGGTGCATACTCATTTTCCTTATTTCGTCGTTATTTGTATTTCTTTCGCCCCATGCGGTGCACACTCCCGAGGAGCGTTTAGCGTGCAATTGTTAGAGCGTCGTTGTATTACAATTGAGTATATGCACTGTTGAGAATTTAGTAATTCTGTAATGAAGAGAAAATCCTATGTAATCACTTGAAGTCATCAATCATTGTGTCACAATATTCGATAATGGATAACCCCTCGGAAGAAAATTTAATCTGACTCTCGTGACCCTCATTGCATCCCACGTGACCCTTATTTTGATCCTTATTTTTGGAGTTGTAATTTCGAGTACCAAATTTTCATCACCAGAAGTCAATTAGGATTTTTATAATATAGAGAACTTTATTTTGCCGCGGGTGACCCTTAGTTTCTGACCCCCAGGACCCTTATTTGGAGCCTTAAGCTGACTCTTGCGACCCTTATTTGGATCGTTAATCTGACGCTCATTATAACCCTCGTAACCCTTACTTTAACCCTGGTCTAACTTATTCTGATCGTCATCGCCCTTAATCTGACACTCGTGACCCTTATTTTACCAAATTTTCATCACTAGAAGTCGATTTGGATTTTTATAATATAGAGAGATATGGACACCCTTATTTTGAGCCGTGTAACCCTTAGTTACTGACCCCCATGACCCTTATTTGGACCCTTAATCTGACTCTTGTGACTCTTATTTGGATGTTTAACCTCCCTCTCATTATAACCCTTGTGACCCTTAATCTGACTTATTTTGACTCTCATGACCCCTAACCCGACCCTTAATCTGACCTTCGTAACCCTTATTTTGACCCGTGTGACCATATTTTAACCCTTGCGACCCTTACTTTTGGTCTCTTAATTTCAAGTACCAAATTTTCATCACCAGACGTCGATTTGGATTTGTATAATATAGAGAGATACATTTTGCGAATAACAGCAAACGTTGACTCAAAAAAATTGGAAACTTCAATTCGAGCCATTAAAAGACTTTCATTTGGAAACACTAAATGTCTCACGAGGACAATTACTACTACGAAAATTATCGTGTTTTGGTGGAAACTTTCTTTTTTGTTCACAAGTAAATTCAACACGACAAAAGATCTCTCTTCACAAGAACATAATTTTTCGAAAAACCTCATTTTTTCTCTCACTTTATTCTTCACCTCAACCGAAAAATGCAATCTACCTGTCAAAAAATACCAGCAAAAAATTATAATGTCGAAACGAGATGAAAAAAGATTTGGCAATGTAACAGAAATTTCATAATTCCTCAAAAGTGACGTACTCCAAGTGTTAAAATTACTCTGGCTGTGAAATTTGGATCTGCGTGACTCTCGTCCACTCACCACGAATCGGAATAAAAGTTCAGGGGGCGGTGAAAGGTGGTCGAGGGGCAGGAGGAGTGAGAGGTAAGAATCGAAAGGGCAGGCGGATGGTCGGCGATAACAGAGGGGGTGACGAAGTGGTGGGGAAGTAAGATGTAAAGAGCGGGAGAAATATTGCGCGTGGTGCGCGTCTACTAACGTTATACGTAGTCGCGTGGGAACCGGGTGGGATCGTGAAAACTCGTATAGGGTTGCATTTGCTACGTTCCGACACTCATGCCTCATCCGTTGTGTACACCGCACGTATTCAAGTGATTTTTTAAGGACACTTATTCTAAATAAATAATTGAAAAATTTAACGGTTTTTTGAGGTGGAGAAACTCTCAGTGATCTACTAATTTTCGTGAATTTCTGAAATTTGTGGTGAAGATTTACAATGATTTCAAGAGGACAATTCTTTTCCTGCTGCGGAGTTTTACTTGTACTCGTTATCAACTCAGGTAATTAAATTTTAATTAATTAAGAATATTGAAAAATTTTTAGGTTTTGAAAAGTGTTTTTAAATTTTTATTACACAAAAGAACATTTTTAATTATTTTTTTATTGCATAAAATCAGTTTGATTTTTATATATTTTTATATTTTCAGAAAAATGTAGAATCAGTTCGGTTACTGAATTTATTCCGCTGTACAGTGTTGAAATTTTATAAAATTTTACCTTCAACTTTGCTCGTGCCGTTAACCAAAAATACAGACATACAATAGGTGAAACCCCAACAACATCTGTTATCCGTGTGTCTCCTGACGTACCTTGAGGCGTCCCTTGTATGGATTATTATCATTATCGATTATTTTCGAGGGACAAGCCTACCCTAGCGTGGCGGGGCCATTAGAGGGGGTGAATATGTGGCATTTTTGTTTTTTAACGATGTTTAATTACAGGATGGGGGCAGCTGAAGTCATTTGGGGTCAATAATGTTTCGAGGGGGGAGAAAACAAGAACAGTAGGATGCATATACAGAAGTTAGGGAGTGCCGCAATTTTCATTTTTTTCCGCAAAATTCTATTATTCATTTTTCTTTGGCCTTTATTGTTGAGTTTGCGTCGGGGAACTTTAAATTATTTCAGTAATGCATTTAGGATTAATTGAGTTTCTTCCAGTTTGGCGAAAAAATATGATAATTATAGTTGTAAATTCATTGATTACCAATTTTTTCTTTCAACATACGATCAATTGGGCGGAAATTGGGCTTAAGGATATCCAAGTACTTTGGCTATTTTTTCTTCGAATGCGTTTCTACTTTTGTAGTCGAATACCAGGGCTTTTATCTGTCTGAATTTGAATCTCGATATTAAACCATTAGAAATCATTTAAAAAATCTGGAGAAAGAATAAAAAACCTACTTTTGGGAGAAGATTGATGAAGTAATTTAAAAATTGCAATTTGTTAAAATTACGAGAATTTCCTATGAATAATTTATAAACAACCATTTTTCCACCGTAAAAATCATTCGTTTGGAATTGTAATAAATTTATTCATATAAGATTGCCGAGAGTTTAAACAATTCCAATCATTTATTTATAAACAGCGATTTAAAAAAAAATTTAATTCTGTAGAAAATGTAATTTGAATGACGCTGAATATTCATGATTTTTTTTCAAATTTTTCACACGCAATTCATTTTATAAATTTGATGATTGAAAATGGTCGAATCTATAGTGTGATTTGCACGAAACTGTAAAAGATACTTGGATATCCTTAAGACATCGTATAAAAAAAAATCTGTATTGTTTCCAATACGAACCATTTGTATTCGCAACATTTGTTAGTATGGCGACACTTGTAAGGCTTTAGATGAATAGTCTCGTTAGCACGCATATGAAAAATGGGGGAATTTAATACCCCAGAATATTCATTGCGAAAAAAAATAGTGAAATGTTCGATGAGGCATTAATTTTCATGAGGAATGAAAGGCGTGGCTGATTGAGATAATCAACGGTTAATTCTCTGTATACCACTTGAGTGGCCAATGAGGGATTAAGGGGTGTGGGGGTGGGGGCGTTCTTTATGCCCTCGCGTACGGTATTTTCATTTTTTTTCAACCCTCTTCACTCTCCCGCGACTTCTCCACTCTTTCTCCGGGGGTTGTTCGTATAATAACGATATATATTCATGATCACAATCTAGTAATGAAATAGTGTACACTGGAGAAACACGCACCCATGGAAAATTACGATGATAAAAGTGGGAATATATGGGTGTGGCTTTTCACGGATTTCAGTAGAGTGATTTTTATTTGCGATAAAAGTTATTTCAATTTTTTTTTCGCTGGGAATTGTCTATTTTCATTCGGGTGTCAGTGAATGTTTTCATAGTTCAATAATTCAATGTAGGAATTTTCTCATTAATTTTTTACCACAATTGTGAAACACAAAAAACTCGATTCAAGTATATTATTATTGATTCGAGCATATAATATTCTTAATTCAAGTATATTTTATACTCGAATGGGGGATGAGTGTTTCAATTCGAGGATGATTATTTCGTATCATCCCGGGTTGTACCAAGCGCTCTCAAGTGTAATATAAGGGTCAGGCACTAAGTGTGAAAATATAAGGGTCAAAATGTGGAGGTTAAAAAATGAGGGTTGGAATATTAGAGTCAAAACGGAGGGCCTGAATGTAAAGGTGAAGGAATGAGGGTCAGAATGTTAGGGTTAAAAAAAGAGGGTTAGAATATTAGGATCAAAAAATTAGGGTCAGAATATAAAAGTGAAAAAAGTGGGTACCAGGCAATGAGGGTCATATAAGGGCTAAAAACGGTGATCAAGCATAACATATGACTTATATTTAGACCCTCATTGCCTGACACTCACTTTGTTTACTTTTATATTCTGACCCTCATCTTTTAACCTCCACTTTTTGACCCTTATATTCTGACACTCAGTGCCTGACCCTTATATTACACTTAAGAGGGCTTGGTACAATCCGGTCTGATACGAAAAAATCATCTTCGAATTGAAATACCCATCCCTCCATTGAGTATAAAATATACTTGATTCAAGTATGTATTTTTTTCCGTGTATGCACTTCCAAGAATTTCATTTTATTATTTTATTTTATTTTATAATTATTTTTCTTCAGTTCAGAGTTTTGATATGCTTGTCAGTTAATTTTTATACGGAGAGAAATTCTCTAGGGGCACAAAGTGGCGGCCAGGGAAATATACTGGAAATTTCATTGAGTAGCACCTGAATTTTTCCCGTTTTTATATGAAATTTTCACAGAAATCCCCGGAAATATCATCAGAAATTGCTTGAAACTTTATCTCAACAGCACTATTTTTTTTCTCAAGAATTTTCCTCCGTGTATGAATTCCAGTGAGGCTGGGATAAATATTATCTAGATATTTACTTTATTCTGACGGAATTCATTACAAGTTCGATGCGAAAATTGCAAATTGGCTGTTGCTCTCCGTATTATTTTTTACTTGTTATTATTGCAACGTTCCATGTGAAATTTCATTGAAATGCAAGGGATGAATTTATAATACGCTGCATATTTATTCTTCGCAGAATTTTCTTCTCCCTGCATAATTCCCACTCAAATCTCGAGATCAAAAATTCATTCTATTGAAAAAGAAAATAGTAAATTGCATAAAACATGAGACTGAAAAAAATAGAAATGAGAGCGCCGGAAGATCGTTGGCGTGTTTCGTTATGATTCTGAATGTAAACGGGAATAAAATTCACCGGAGGAAACGCAATGTCGATCGCGGATATAAAGCCTCGAGGGGAATGAGGGGACTTTGTTCTGACGCGAAGGCTTCACAATTCCTCATTTCTGCATATCCCGCTCCATTCTGTTTTGATTCTCTAGGGGAAGCCTTAGAATGTTACCAGTGTCTATCACGTGCGCTTGCCGATGACCAGTGCAAGGGCGACTTCATAACGCAAAAGGGAAACCAGGATGTGGTGAACTGTTCGCAATCGAAGATGAATGATTGGCATCATAAGATGAATAATGACAGAGACCTGCGGTACTTGGCTTCTGTCTTTGAGGTGGCTCAGAGTCACTATCCCTCGCCAGAACTGGAGGAGTTCTCCTGCATCAAGCTTAAACTGAAAGGTACGATATTTGGGTTTACTTTATTGTTGAATTCATTTCGTTAAAAAAAGTAAAGGATAATTACGAAGCTGAAGAAGATGAGAAAATTCACAAAAAAGCACTGACAATGAGAAAAAAAAGATTTTTAGGATAGGAAAAATAGTTGTCAAGGCGTTAGAGAAAATTTCAAATTTCACTGAAAATTCAATGGAATTCACCAAATTACTTGAATTTTCAAGTAGAACATGAATATTTAATCGTAAATTCAAGAAAATTATGCATCTGAATCTTCTTGATTTCTATCAATTTTCAGAGGATAATTGAACTGAAATTTAGAGTTTCCATGTAGTTTTCCTCAAATTGCGAATTTTAAATTACGAAATTCCTTGAAATTTCCGTGAAAATGTCACCTGACCATAATTTCCGAGAAGAAATTTGTAAACAAAACTTACTCATTTGCAAAATAATAGTCAACAACGAATGGACAACCATGAGAACCTGCCAGTCAAAGCAAACAGTAGTCCTCGATCCCTGCAAAAAAGTTGAGCAGGGCGCAATGAATCACCCGGAAAAAGCAATAACTGTCGAATACTGTGGACTGTGCACCAAGGACAAGTGCAACGGCACAGGAATTAACTCAGCCACTTATCTCGCCACCTTTCTGTCTCTCGTGGTGACACTCGGTCTCATGGGTTATCTCCATCGAGCTGTTTAACCTCCTCCACAGTCACAAATTGAGGAAAATGTGAGAATATGAGGGAGAGCCTTGAACAAATATATTATATATATATAAGGAGAAATGAGCGCTATCTGCCCACTCGTTGACATCACACATCACAGCTTCATACCTATTAATTATCTCATGATTTTTTTTCAATTAACGACACAAGAAATGAGATTAGTGAACTAGAGAAGAGAAGTGACAGTTCATTTTTGAGAGTAAAAATTATATTTCCACATTGAGATTCAGTAACTTTTTTATTCTGTCTGTGAGAATATTTACTCAATAATTATTCGATTCCTTCGTCAGAAATAAATAATGATACATAATCCTGCGAAGCAACAATCCAATGTGTTTAACGAAATAAATTTGAAAAATTTGTAATGAAGAAAAATAAGAAAATAGTTTTCAGTGATTCGAACACATTCAGCAACGCTCTTTCTTTGATTATCAGCATTGGGGCTTAATTAATGATAAGTAATTATTTCTAAATGATTTGAAATTGAACCAAATACTTGTAACTCATGATTTTTGTATTCAAGTGTGCGTGGAACAGAAGATAGGATTTATAATTTTTTTATTGTAATCACATAAGGATTATTTTCATAGCACATTCAACATTTTTTTAATGATAAAGTGAGACGATTTTTAATTGCATGGAGGAGTAGCGGGAATTCATGAGTTTCACCTAGTGGCCTGAAGAATTATTGTCTTTCATTTAATTAAGAACACGACATCATTATGAATGAATTGCGTGCCTCGATGATGCCTAGACCGCCTAAAGTAACTCCATTATAATGTATAAATTATCTGTAAACACTTGCAACCATAAAAAGGTGAAAATAATCAGATAAAGCACTGATAACGAGGTCAACGATTTATGATTTGAAGAATGGAGGGGATGTTCAAAATAATGTATTTCAGGAGCTTTCAAATACATGAGAAAACAAAATTATACTGGAATATGTACCAAGACCACTTTACCGGCAATAAAATTGATTAATCTGATCGTAACATAATCTCGAATTATATGTTTGATATGTTCCCTTTTTCATGCAATGTCATTTGACATTTTCAATCATTAAGTTTTGTGGTCGAAATGTGAGAAAACGTCCACATTTCATACTGCAATCCACTTTTTTTTCCAACGTTCACAAAATTCTAAACAGAATCTTCATTTTTTGACTACAGAATAGATAATGGCAAATTTATTACGAATTTTTAGGTGAAGTTTTTGTAGTATTGAGTTTTCGCAGTATTTATTTGAATCAACACTTGAAATGAATTTTTGGCAGAGTGATTTCTCCGTCATAGAAAATTAATTTTCGTGCGGAGAAGCTACGGAATTTTTCAATAGAATCACCCAAAAACGAAATCTAACAGAATTTTGCAGCGTATTTGCTGGGTTTCTCTAGGACATTTTTTGTGGGCTATTTAAGGAAAAAAGCATGAATTCTTGATAGTATTACTATATGAATTTCCCTAAAAAATTTATTTACATGAATTTCTAAGTGAAAATGAATATTCATTCGCCAATTCTCTCGAATTTTTATAGAATTTCTTTAAAATTCGTGGGAACTCATGAATTTTTGAAGGAATTCCCTGAAAATTCCGAGGAAATTAAGAAGGAATTTCTCTAAATGTCCCTGATTTTTCATCAATTTTCTCGGACTAATTTAATTTGCAGTTTCCACGGATTTTTCCATGAAATTATGAATTATCAATTACAAATTTCCTTGAAATTTCAGTGGACCTGTTACTCGCTAGAAATTTCTCCTTTAGAAAATTTTTAACAGTGCAACAAAATCACAGGAAAATATCTCGATTCAAAATTGAGCTTTCATGGAAGCTCTGACGTTCAACTAAAAAAGTAGAAATCAGGTTCAACGAAAAATAAAAAATCGTCGACTTCCTCTAGACTCCAAACTGGATTACTGAGGCGCACATTCTGCTCGAAATGTACCTTTCGCACAAAATGCAATAGTCAATGTATGCGATTTAAGAGTGTGAATTTCCTGGAACGTATCAGCGGCTTCTTTACTCTCCCACCTGTGTTCTCCCTCGCCGAAGGTTATTCTATGGTTTCATTTTCAGTAGTGATACCTTATCAGTGCGTTGGGTACAGCGATGACAGAATTCGTGTTAGATGTTCCGATTTTTTTCTCCACCGAAAACAAGACGATTGTTTCAATCGATCAAAATCCTTATTTTTGCTAAAAAAAAAATGAGTTACAATTTTTTTGTAACGAGTCCGTAAGATTGCGGTTTTTACCTAAAAAAATGAATATTTTTTTGGGATGAAGCGATTATTTTTTTATGAAAGAATTTTCTTTTTTATAAACTTTATTGAGAAACATTGTCGGGTCTCGTTCAATAAGTGAATGGGGAAAAATGATCTGTCGCCATTTTTTGGAGTTCGTCGGAGTTCTGGTATTGGGTAAGTATCAGATCATAATTAATTCTTGGAAATGTGGAGAGCTCGGGAAATTTAGGGAGAATTCTCTGAGGTTTAATTGGTGACTAGGGGAATTGACAATTTCCGAGGGGCTATCGTGTTACCAGTGCAATGCTGACTTGTCAATGGGTCTCAAGGAGGAGTGTAATGATCCGTATGCGCCAGGACCTGCCATCGATCTTGTGGAATGTCCACAGAACGAGCCACATTATTGTCTCAAGGCTGCTATTAACTGTGAGTACTTTGGACGTGTGTGGAGACTATTCAAGGATTTTTCGAATTGAGGGTAAATGTCCGAAACAATTTCCTCATTTCAAATTATTGTGATTGAGTACCGAGAGATATAAAAACAGTTGAGGAAGCTAAACTAGACATTTACCAACAATTAGGTTTTGATTTTTTTCATTGAGGAAATTTTCTAGTGTCCTCATGACACAGTTCTCAGTTGATTAACTTGAATTATGGTTTAGACATGCAGATCATATGCGTAAATATAACTGCAGAGGTTTTTTCAAAATCTTCATTTTTTGGGTTTTTGGATTTTTTTTTTAAATTGCTACATGCCAAACATTTGAAAAATTGTTCAAATTGGAGTTCATAGTGAATCTGGGGCATGAATTCAATTCATTTTCAGTTTTTTTTCCATTATATTCAATAATTTATGATATAGTTGAAATATTGAAAAATTTCAGATGTTTTACCTCAGCCAATTTTGTGAAAAAATTTCCAAAAACTCGAAAAATAGATTTTTAAAAAAAAAAAGCTCATTTAATTATGTTTGTGTACATAATATGCATGTGTGGATAAAAGTTAGAGTCAATCGGGTGAGAATTGCGTCGTGAGGCCTCGTTCTGCCCAATAACAAGAATGAAGATCTAATTTTTTTCTCATTTTTTTATACTAAAACTGAACTAGTAAACTTACCAGCATAATTGATGAAGCACTAGTAATTTCTAAATTTCACTACGGACTCTTCTTAATTATTTTTATGAATTGAACTTTTATTGATTTATTGTCATAGATTTCTAAAATTTCTCGAGTATAGAAAAGTTAGTTCAATCAATTCAATGGAGGAGAATAATAACTATCACACGGAGAAAAAAATGCAGTACGAATTAATCACGAACAAAGTGAATTTTTAAACCATAAATTTTTATCAATTCAAATTAAAAATCAATTTGAAAAATTAAAGAAAAAAATTAAACAAATGAATGAAAAAACCTTTAACCTTAAATCTGAGTTCAATTGATTTGTTTATAAAAACTTGTGAAGTTATTCGCCTCTATAAAATTAACGAAAAATAATGATAATTTTTCCAATCAATTAAAATTTTTGATTTGTCAAGTATAAATGATTTTCTGCAATGTTTACAAATGTTCATGTCAGTTATCCGTATGACATAATTCGCTACAAACCTTCTCTATTTATAGAATATGCAACCTCGTAACATATTCATCTGTGATTTTGTTCCATTCGAGTAGATTTTCGTGCTTGATCGCACACTTCCGTTCAAACAAACCCGCTCCAAATGCATTGTATACCTGACTACAACAAACAACAAAATTTATCTCGAACTCGACCGAGAGCGGGGATGCGACGATTTTGCTTCTTCCCTCCTCATTTCTCCCCGTTTTTTTGCCCCCCTCCAAATGCACAGTCAACCGAGAGTTATTTAGATAAAACATGCACGTGCTTCAACATGTATGCTCAACGACGGAGACAACATTCAATTATCTGGGAGACGCGGAGCAAAACGGGTACAATGTTGTGTGCGGAATTTAGTCCATACTCTAGGTACCATGTAGTATCCATTTTTGTCACTGCTGCTACGTAGAGTCTTTTCGTTTGAGGGGTAACAGAATGCCACTAAGGTAAATGATCCTACGCTCGTGTAGCTAAGGTGAACACATTATTAGTCCAATATTTCCATTGAAATGAGTGGAAAGATGCCGTGTTTAAAATTAGATATCAGAAAGTAAAAACTTCAGGATTAGAATTCACTTATATTAATCGTGATAATTACTATTTTTTAATAAATAATCGTCCATCCGAACTAATTACATCGTGAGTATCCTATTTGGGATAAAACAACATTAAAAAATATCTCGAGGCACAAAATTATATTTCAATTGGACAGTCCCACCTATTAAATGATTTTTTCATCCGTTACCAGTTGACAGTTGGTTGCAAAACGAGCATAGGATCAATGCCATTTCAGAGATGGCCATCAATATTAAAAGAATTTCCAACTTACATTGATAAAAGTTTAAATATACTCATCGAAATTGAAAACTAGTAAAATAATTGAAATCTAAATTTCCGATTGATCATGAATTAAATAATTGATAATATGGAACTGTAAATTTTCTATTAATTAAATAGTACTAATTTCATACAAGCAATTTTTGATTAACTAAATAATCGTCAATCCTCCTACCTAAATTATTGATTAATAAAATAATTCGGAATTTGAGTATTCAATTGATGATTACTTAAAATTAAAATTAAAATTAAAAAAAATTAAAAAATTAAAAAATTGAGTGATATTAACGGATTGACTATCCAAAACCTCAGTCAAGGGATTTTTAATCCCATTTTCCTAATATAACGAAGATATCAACATTTAAAAATTGTGAGTTTCTTAACTTGCGGCTTAAAAGTTCACTCTGTCGTAGCACCAGTTGATATAGATGGAATTTTTCTATAAATAAATTTTCTCCCTGCTCAAAAATGTAGAATTTCACTATTTCTTCCCCCTAAATAGCAATCAATGCTGCTCTCCGGAAAATTACTACAAAACTTTGCAGAAAATTTCAAAGTATTCCTATCAGCGAGGATTAATTCATCGGTTATTGCATTGTTGCAAAATAGGTAATTGATCAGGAACATGTAAAATTCAAAATTGAAATTCGTCTCTTTTGTTGGATTTGAGTTGATGAAAACCGCACAATCAATCAAACATTATCATTTCCCCCGATAATAAGATCCCAAAACGCTCATGATCACCGATCCATTGCCCAAATCGATAAATAATTGTTCTCGATAATAATCGCCGGCAATTTACTCTCAAACTCGGCAGTATCGTAACCAACAAAAACAGTAATTTGTGTATGACAATGGGGATTACGATGGAAACCCATACAATTACGATAAAAAGTTCAACCACCCGGCGTGTGCTTGCGTGACCTCCAGAGGGACGAAAGAACACATGTCACCCCACACATTTTACCATACCATTGCTATTACACTGTCCTTATTTTTCCAGATAAAAATGTCTACGCTACGGTCAGGGGTTGCGTGCCGTCGCGCAGCCAAAGTACGTACTGTTCACCTCTTGATGAATTTCCAGAGGCACATGTCACGTGCAAGTTCTGCAATGAGTATGCCTGTAATGGCTCGTGGACTCCAGCGATAGGAGAAAATTCAAAGATGTTAATTTTTATTCTCATTATTATTAGTTGTCTGATTAGATAGGGATGAGTGTTATTTTTCTGTAATTATTCAACTTATTTTGTGAGGATTGCAGAGACGGTGGAGAATATAAAGTACTTTTGGAATCGTTTCTGTTTTTTTTTACAGAGGAAAACCCATGGATTGGTATCAATGATTATTTTACGTGTACTAATACACTGTTGAAAATTTTCGTTTGAATTTTCCGGGCCAAATTCTGGAAATTTGTATCGTGTTCAAGTTCCGCTGGAATTTCAGGAAATCTTGTCAATTGAAAATCAAATGTTCCATTGATTTTCTGTTCAAATGATCTGGAAATCAATAAAATACTTGATTTTTCAGTTCGATTATTCTGAGAAAATTCAGAAAAATTAGGGAAATTCAACGAAAACTCGAAAATTCCCGTTATTTTGTTTCTGAATATGCATGGTCCACTGAAAATTCAATCAAGTTGTTAAATTTCCATGTATCACTCCCACTGAAAACTCATGAATTTCCGTGAATTCCACTTAAAACTTGAAATTTCATGACCATTTTTTCCCTAAATTCGATTCATGTCACTCTCATCAGATTTACCATAATATTTTCCATGAGAAGTTGCATCTTACAATAATTAAAGTTTACTTGTTCTCATTGAAATTTGAAAAATAATAAAATAATTGAATTCTAAATTTCATAAAAGGATTTCATAAATTGTTCGATTAGCCAACTAGTCATCAATGCTCCAAACTCCATTATTAATTGATAAAATGATTCGGAATTTAAATACTTAATTGATGATTAATTCAATCATTTAAAAATTGATGAGTAATATTAACAACTCATTCATGTTTTACTCTGAAATAAGAAACTTGTTACTTATTGTGAAAAAAAATCCCTCAAATTCAGTACAAAAGCCAATTTTTTTTGCGAGTGAAAAAAGTCTTCAAATGAAAAATCATTATTGGGCTTTTTAATTAAGGGTGTCATGTTAACTTTAAAGTCAAGTTTTTAAATTAATGTTTCATTTATTGATATTATCACACACATGGTGAACATTGTTGACAATTTCAAAGTTTTCTCAAAATAAGAGAGAACGTGCTTTAATTGAAGCACAATTATACTGGATTTCACCTTCGGAATGAATGCCTTCGAAATTAAAAGGACTCTCAATAGAATTATCAATCCACTCAGATGAAATTAAGGGACAATTGAAATAACAAAGGAATGTCCCGGAGAGAGAATAATAAATATGTATTCGGGGTCCTTTAATGTTGCATGCCTCTGGTTAATTTGTACAAAGGGTCACGGGGCCATTTAACCCCGGAGAGAAGACATTACCAAATTGACTCCGACTATTTGACCCCTCTCTCCCCCTCTGCGCGAATGCACGAGAGGGGACTCAAGGGCTTCTTCAGTTGCAAGAGTATGTCGTCAATTTTTAACTCCCGTTGAGTCACATGCCATTTCCTGCCTACACACCCATTCTTACGAGCCAAATGATATAGTAGATGTAGAAATTCGTCATCAATGATGTACCGATGACTTTGAACACGAAGTCATCAATGAAGTGATGAGAACAGATGAATCAAAACGGGAGAGGAATCTCAATTGTGCAATATGACGAATTGAAAACATTTTTATTCTTTTAAAGAAAATTTGTTGAAAAAATTTATAATGACATGTTTGAAATTATTTTAAAAATCAATTTTTTAATAAGTCTGACTTATTCATTCTGGAAAAATTCCGTGACAGTTCCGCAAAATTTTGAACAACCACATTCCGCTCTGGAATTACAAAAAAAAAAACGTAATTTTTATTGAATGTTTCTCTACGTGAACGCCAAAATCGCAAGCGCAGCGCAATTGAACTGTTTTTTCGGCCGCTAAATGCTTTTTTAAAGATATTTCTTGAGTCTCGTCTTAGATGCCAAACAGGCACGTCAAGCAAGAGAACAAAATCCTTGGATTCTCACGCGTCCGTAACTGATAAAAGAATCCAAGTAATTTAAAAATCAAAACAATTACGTCAAACTTCGTAGTTTTCATTTTTGTGCAACTGATCGATGAGATGAGAATTCCTCATTACGTGCTGTGAATGAAATAAGTGCAAGGACACAGTTTCTAAAATAAAACAAACAATAGACATTACTTGATTCAAACCGTCGTAAAATATTATCGTTGAAGTGAAATGGAAGTGAAATGTTGATAAATCCAAATAATATCGTTCAAGTGAAGTCTAAATAATTATTATTTAGTCATAATCTAATCAGTTTAAAATATATTGACTATGTTGGGACGAAAGTAATTTCCCACTTGTTACAATTAATGATCAATCATTGCAATTATTAACGGTTAATCAATCTCTTTTGAAATATTCGCCGAATAAGAAATAGAATGATACAGTGATCTCAGGTTTTTCTATGAATATATTATATCACCTGAGCCTTGAGTATTAATATTAGATTAATCATGTATGTTGAATTCTATTAGATGAAACTCGGCTGCAGGAAAAGTCTAAGGAATTAATTGAAATTACGTGTCTAATTACATCGAGTTAAGACCCCTACGACTGACTTCTCGACTCCGTGGCGGGGGCGTCGAGACGTAAATAATGTGCTAATTTTTGTATCAATAAACCCGAGAAAAGTTCATGATATATTCGTCTGTTTACTTGCATTCAGTGCACACTGAAAGAAAATTCCGAGGGAGAAATGCATTGGCGTGGAAAAAAGTTGAAAAAAAGGACAAACCTGACGTAATTTATTCTAGGCATCCCATTCTGAAACGCCGGAAAAAACGAGGGGAGATATGAATTACATAACGAATAGTTGTTATTTTTCCCAGGCACGGAGGCCAAGTTCCACCTGATGCGCTTAATAATTCACGATAAAAAGGAAGAATTTTCATCATTTCTTGACCTATTTCTTTGAGATAACTTTAATTATTTTTTTTAGTTCAGAGAACTTGCATTTTTTAATAGAATTTGATTTAAGAGGAAACGAATGAGAAATTTCTTTCGTCGCAACATTGTCAATATATTTTGGCCGTGACTATTCGCACCATTGCGTGAATCACTCCCGTACACTCCATACACTCCACGCATGCGTGAAGTTTGTGTGTTTCACGCAGCCGAATTTTCATACTGCTGTGTATTTCACGCAGTTGAAGTTTCATACTACTGTGTGTTTCACGCAGTTGNGAAACTATGAGATCCGATCAATTAGCCCCTCATGTATAGATATTCCAAATTTTTATTTTTTTCCTCATTGAAGTAGTTTTGAAAAAAATTGCGAGATAATAAAAAACATTTGCTAGTTAGGACTTTTTTAAAAATAAATTTTTGACAAATCACCCCTGAAAAAAAGGCGTTATCCCCCCTACTTCATTATTTCCAAAAATTTTTATCACCAATCGGTAGCAAATTGTTTGAAGATTTTTGCGAGTTAAGAAAAAATCGTCAATGCACTCCTATTATTGTGTAAATTAACAATTCCAATTTCAACTGAAAACCAGAGTTGA